GGCCGCGTCGAGGGGCGGGGCCGCGACGGTCGGGGCGGGGCCGTGACATAGGGCGGGGCCGCTTCGAGGGGCGGGGCCGCGACGCAGGGCGGGGCCGCGACGTAGGGCGGGGCCGCGTCGAGGGGCGGGGCCGCGACGGTCGGGGCCGCTTCGAGGGGCTGGGCCGCGACGCAGGGCGGGGCCGCGACGTAGGGCGGGGCCGCGACGTAGGGCGGACGCCCGCGAAGGTAGGGCAGACGCCCGCCGCGCGCCTCGGGGCGCACAGCGGGCAAAGAACCGCCGCGCGCCCCGGGGCGCACGGCGGGCAGAAAACCGCCGCGCGCCTCGGGGCGCACGGCGGGAAGGAAAGGTAGCAGCGGAAGCGAGGTGGAAACCCACCCACAGGATCGATCCAAGGGGATCGACCTGCTCTGATAGCATGACAAAAGTTAGAAGAAAGAAAGAGGATTGAACTAGCAAGAATGAGGATACAAATAGCAAACCCTAGAAGGGTTGTACTCGCTATAGAGCACCCCACTACAGGCTAGAACAATAAGATAATATTCTGACAGCAGGAGCAACGGACCCACTGGCGACTGGTGCAACAGGCTCACTGGCTACCGAAGCAAGGGCGACGGACTACAGGCGCTGCAGGCGACACGACAGCTACCTCCACACAACCTCCTCCAGCTGTCCCACACCCTCGACACACACCCCCTGCTCAAACCCTAGTTCTACTCCCAAAGCACCCCCCTTTCACACACACCCTGTTGCACCCTAGGTTCACTCACACCCCACCCCCTAGCGACGGGCGACGGGAAAAAGGGGGGGGGGGGCGGTGCACGTGCCCCCGGTGCGCCGCGCCAGGCGATGAAGCATGGCCGGGGCGGGGCCTGGACAGGGTCGAGGAAGGGCCGAAAGGGGCGGCGACGGGGCCGCAAGTGGCGGCGAAGGGGCCGCTGGGGGCTGCGACGGGGCCGCGAAGGAGCCGCGAGGGGCGTGGAAGGGCGGCGAGGGGGCCGGTAGAGGTGGCGACGGGGCCGGTAGAGGCGGCGACGGGGCCGTGAAGAGCGGCGACGGGGCCACTAGGGGCGGCGACGGGGCCGCGAAGGGCGGCGACGTGGCCGCGAAGGGCGGCGACGGGGCCGCTAGGGGCGGCGACGGGGCCATGAAGGGCGGCGACGTGGCCGCGAAGGGCGGCGACGGGGCCGCGAAGGGGCCGCGAGGGGCCTAGAAGGGCGGCGACGGGGCCGCGAAGGGGCCGCGAGGGGCCTAGAAGGGCGGCGACAGGGCCGCGAAGAGTAGCGCGAGTGGCACGCCACGGGGCGTGCAGAGTACACAGAGTAGCAGCGGAAGCAGTTGGGTGGGCCCACAGGCCAGGACCGTAGATGCTCTGATAGCATGTGAAGAAATGAGGAATGAAGAAGGGAGGGTTTCACTAGCAGCAGTTGGGATACATATAGCAAATCCTAACAGGGTTGTACTCGCTATAGAGCACCCCACTACAGGCTAGATAATTATAACATTCTGACACTTCTCTGCCCTGAAAAATGTTCTCTGTTCACCGCCCGTCCTACGCATCGCCGACCCACACCGCCCATTCGAAGTAGTTACCGACGCAAGCGACATCGTCATCGGAGCCGTACTGCTACAGGACTTCGGCAACGGCCTACAACCCATCGCATACGAGTCACGAAAACTGCATCCGCCCGAGAAAAATTACCTGATACACGACCGCGAAATGCTTGCGATCGTGCACGCGTTCAAGGTGTGGCGCTGTTACTTGACCGGCGCAGACGTGATAGTACGGACAGACCATAAATCACTACAGTACCTCCGCGCACAGCCACACCTCAACCCACGACAGATCCGCTGGCTCGATTTCCTCGAGTCAAATTTCCAGTACACAGTCACCTACAAAAAGGGGGCATCGAACATCGCTGAAGCTCTGACCCGCCCCACTGCCCAGATCCACGCAATACTACTCGCCCAGACAAGCCCACTACTGACATGCCTATTTACCCACGGGTACCAAATGGATCCATTCTTCACAGGAGGAAATTCGCAGCAGTTCGCAGCAGCAAAGGGAGTCTATCATGTAAAAGCCGGGACCGACCGCATCTAGGTACAAGGATACACACTGCTACGGGAGTTATTGTTACAGGAGGCACACGACGGAGTTACCTCAGGGCATTTCGGGGTAGAGAAAACACGGCAGCAGCTGCAGCGGTATTATTACTGGCCCGAGATGTTGACCGACGTACAACGACACGTGGCATTGTGTCCCACTTGCCAGCTCATGAAATCATCGCAAGCGGCCGGCAGGACAGTTGCAGCCGATACCACCCCCAGAGCGTGCTTCGCAGCAGGTGACGATGGATTTCGTCACGGGGTTACCGGCTGGGGCAAGTGGGAACGACGCGATCCTAGTCGTCGTCGATCAACTGACGAAAATGGCACACTTCGCAGTCTGCAACAAATCAATCACAGCCGAAGAAACAGCACGCCTCTTCATCTCCACCGTCGTTCGACTGCACGGGATACCAGCAACGATCATCAGCGGCCGAGACACAAAATTCACTAGCAACTTCTGGCGGAACCTGTGGCAACAATTCGGCACGCGACTACAGTTCAGTTCCTCATACCATCCCGAGACCGACGGACAGACAGAGAGGACAAATTAGACAATGGAACAACTCATTCGGGCCACGTGGGACGACCCAACCACTTGGGAACAGCAACTGCCGCTCATTGAATTCGCGTACAATAACTGACCCTCCGCCACAACCCAACAGTCGCCGTTTTACCTGAACTACGGACAAGACCCGACAGTACCCATGACCCTGAATCCCGACAACTCGGTGCCCCGAGCACAACAGTTCGCCGAAATTTTACAAGCAGCACGGACCCGGGCTGCAGACGCAATAAAAAAATCGAACATCATCGCTAAACATAACGCCGACCGCCACCGCCGACCTATTACTTACCAGCCCGACGACCTAGTTTTACTTGACACCCAGAATCTCCGCCTGCCTATCTCCCCAAAACTTCGCCCCCGATACTGTGGACCATTCCGCATTAGCCACATGATTACGCCCGTCACCGCCCATCTTCTCCTCCCCGCTGACTGGTACGTCACCCCGTCCTTCCACGTCAGCCTACTTCGCCCCTACATATCGTCCACTAGCCAACTGCCACGTAATCGCCCGGCCAGCATGACACGACCGCCGACTGAACCAATCATCACACTCGATAAAATTCTGAGCCACAGAGTTCGTGACCCTCGAGGAGCCCGAAGGATCGAGTTCCTGATCCGCTGGAAAGACCGTACACCCACCGAAGACAACTGGGTTCTCTTGGACAGAGTCGAAAACCACCCCGTCCCCACAGAGTATCTGCGCAGCCGAAACTTCAGGGATGTACACGCGCTTTCGTAAGGAGGACCTCCTTAGGGGGAGGGTAGTGTAAGGAAAATTCCTTTTCTTTACTTCGTGTCCCCGCTCAGTGCGTACACAACACCACAGTCAGCACCGTTACCACTCGCAACCCTCGCATCGACAATCCTCCCGCCACCTTCGCACGTCGCACCCCTACCTCACGGCTCGGCGGGTAACCCGCTCTCCGGGCCTCCGCTTCGACATTTCCCCAAACCTCAGTCCCAGGCCCGTCGCGCGACAACCACAGTCCATTACCGTTACCACTCTAGTTTCGCTATATATTCTTCGCTCGTGCCTTGGCTCATTGTACTCTTGCTTAGATAGTGCAATTTTAGCTCTCACTCAATTGCACTCCTAAGAGATGACCTGGCATCCGCAAGCGAAGAACTGGGGGTTAGAGTTATGGTGCCCCGAGTTAAATGCCGCTATCGCCAAAAGATTTTCCACTATCGCGTTGTTCGCCACACGCTACAGCGACTGTCGCCAGGCTTTTCAGCGACATTCTCAAAGCATCCGAGCCGACGTTATCCATTTTCCATTTCGCGCCAAGCCCAACGGTAGCATCAGCTGGACATCTCCCTTTCAAGGGAAACCAGCCAAAACCAGCCCAGCCCCATCCAAACCTGTCTGATGTTGATCCCTTGCCAAACCAAACGGCTGTGCAGATAGAATTGCCGCCGCCATTGGTACCAGCTTGAGGGAGGGCCTGTCCAGGTTTGGTCTACGTAAGCTTCTTAATTTGCTCTGCCATTGCTGAGCGGAGGGTGTGTTGTTGCGTGTCAGGACATCATGGCCGGTGGTAAGGGAGGGAGGAAGAAGAAGAGCAAAGGAGGGCCGCAGGGAGGTGGAGGAGGGAAAGCACCCGAATCAACTGCAGCATCAGCAACGGCCGCGTCGGCAACGGCAGCAGCAACAGAAGCATCAGCAGGAGAAGCAGCAGCGTCAGGAGCGGCGGCAACAGCATCTGACACCCGGAATGGACCTTCAACAACATCCATTCCGTCAACCACCCCTTCCTCGGCTGCCGCAAAATCCGCCGCATCTTCCGCAAACAAAACCGTTCCGGTTGCTTCGCCAGGGACCGACGGAGGGTCGTCCGTTGGTGGCGGGGCCGCTGCTGCTTCTGCCGATGGCATTTCCGCCAAAAAGGCGGCAAATGCGGCGTCGAATGCGGCGTCGAATGCAGTGCCGTCAGCGAAAGCTGCAGTATCTGCTTCCAAGGCGTCTGCTAAGGCTGCTGACGCCGACGAGGATGTGAGTCACCGACAAGGCCTTAACAATAGACAGTTCTCCCAATATCCGTCGCTCCCTCTCGCTACGGAAGCCTCACAGCATCTGACGTCCCGCCCGATGTCTTTTTTAGCTATGAGACGTTTTCAGAACTCAGTTTCCGATGACCGTTCCAGCAGTGTCTCAAAGCCCTCAACCCTGAACCTCGTCGCAGCCATCAAAACTCTTAATCCTGCATGTTCTCCCTGCGTGCCCTCTGGAGAAAGCGGGGGCGAGCGGTGGGGAGGAGGGGAAGGGGGGAGGAATGGGTGGCCCTGGATGTGAAGGGTGGCTGTGACTGATTATTTATCAGCTATGCGGTGTCCCAAAAGCCTTCCCCCAGTAGTCGTTGACACGCCTCAACCTTCGCTTGCAGCCACACCAGCGTTAACAACAGCAGGTTTTCCGCGAGAGAGCGTCAACAGCTGAGGGGACATGTGTGGAATAGATTATTAGCTAATAATGGAACGCACGTGCCTCAAAACCTGCCGGGCGCGCATCAAGGAGCTGTAGCACAGGCCACTAAGCGTGTGTCTGAACCGCCACTGAAACCCTGTGTCCTCTCTCCCTGACAGGTGTTCCATGCGCGGGCCATGGAGCTCAAGGCGGGGGGCAACCAGCACAGCAACTGCAGGCGCGAGCGGCACAGCGAGCTGTGACACAGGATCAATCCTGCCTCCAGCCGGGCCTGTCTTAACCTCCATTGCAACCCTGTGTTTTCTCCCCTCTGGCAGGTGTTTCATGCGCGGGCCATGGAGCTCAAGGCGGAGGGCAACCAGCATTTCCAGGCACGGGAATATGCAGCAGCCATGGAGCGATACGGCAAGGCCATCAAGCTGCTGCCCGCCACTCATGCGGACAGAGGCATTCTGCACAGGTGCATACTGAATATAGAGTGCACAGGTGCATACTGAATATAGAGTGTACAGGTGCATACTGAATATAGAGTGTACAGGTGCATTCTGAATATAGAGTGTACAGGTGCATACTGAATATAGAGTGCACAGGTGCATACTGAATATAGAGTGCACAGGTGCATACTGAATATAGAGTGCACAGGTGCATACTGAATATAGAGTGCACAGGTGCATACTGAATATAGAGTGCACAGGTGCATACTGAATATAGAGTGCACAGGTGCATACTGAATATAGAGTGCACAGGTGCATACTGAATATAGAGTGCACAGGTGCATACTGAATATAGAGTGCACAGGTGCATACTGAATATAGAGTGCACAGGTGCATACTGAATATAGAGTGCACAGGTGCATACTGAATATAGAGTGCACAGGTGCATACTGAATATAGAGTGCACAGGTGCATACTGAATATAGAGTGCACAGGTGCATACTGAATATAGAGTGCACAGGTGCATACTGAATATAGAGTGCACAGGTGCATACTGAATATAGAGTGCACAGGTGCATACTGAATATAGAGTGCACAGGTGCATACTGAATATAGAGTGCACAGGTGCATACTGAATATAGAGTGTACAGGTGCATACTGAATATATAGTGTACAGGTGCATTCTGAATATAGAGTGTACAGGTGCATACTGAATATAGAGTGCACAGGTGCATACTGAATATAGAGTGCACAGGTGCATACTGAATATAGAGTGCACAGGTGCATACTGAATATAGAGTGCACAGGTGCATACTGAATATAGAGTGCACAGGTGCATACTGAATATAGAGTGCACAGGTGCATACTGAATATAGAGTGCACAGGTGCATACTGAATATAGAGTGCACAGGTGCATACTGAATATAGAGTGCACAGGTGCATACTGAATATAGAGTGCACAGGTGCATACTGAATATAGAGTGCACAGGTGCATACTGAATATAGAGTGCACAGGTGCATACTGAATATAGAGTGCACAGGTGCATACTGAATATAGAGTGCACAGGTGCATACTGAATATAGAGTGCACAGGTGCATACTGAATATAGAGTGCACAGGTGCATACTGAATATAGAGTGCACAGGTGCATACTGAATATAGAGTGCACAGGTGCATACTGAATATAGAGTGCACAGGTGCATACTGAATATAGAGTGCACAGGTGCATACTGAATATAGAGTGCACAGGTGCATACTGAATATAGAGTGCACAGGTGCATACTGAATATAGAGTGCACAGGTGCATACTGAATATAGAGTGCACAGGTGCATACTGAATATAGAGTGCACAGGTGCATACTGAATATAGAGTGCACAGGTGCATACTGAATATAGAGTGCACAGGTGCATACTGAATATAGAGTGCACAGGTGTGGTTGATATGCGCCGTGTTGTGCAAAGGTGAGTTGAGAGTGAGAGGCAGTATCAGGCACGCGAGTGTGCAGCAGCCATGAAGCGATATGACAAGGCTGTCAAGCCGCTGCCCACTGGTCATGCAGACAGGGCGGTTCTGCACAGGTGAGGTTTGAGAATGATATACAACGCACATGGGAGAGCACATTGTATTGTAACCATGTGATGTGACACGGTTGTTGTGCGCAGCTGTGCTGCAGCTAGAACACAGCCGTTGGAAAGTACATCAAATTACACCGTGTAAGTGCATGGTAGTACAAGAATACCATGCAAGTTCGGAACGCTTTTTCTTCTCCCCTCCGCCCCCTCCTGGCCCTCCCCCCTCCCCTGCCCTGCCACCCCTCGACCCCTCCTGTCGCCCGTCGACCCCTCCTGCCCCTCTCCCCAGCAACCGAGCGGCCTGTCTGCTGCAGATGCGGCCGGTGGATTACGAGGGCGTGAGGGTGGAGTGTGACGCCAGCCTCGCTCTCAACCCGGGCTTCTGCCGTGCGCTGCTGCGCCGCGCCAAGGCGCTGGACGCGCTGGGCGAGAAGGATAAGGCCGAGGCTGACGTGGATGCGATTTTAAAGGTGAGGATTGGTAGTTCAAGTATGGGAGCGAGCGGTAAGGCCAAGGCGCTGGACGCACTGGGGGAGAAGGACAAGGCCGAGGCTGACGTGGACGCGATTATAAAGGTGAGTATACGGCAGCAGCTGACGTGGACACTATCATCAAGTTGAGGATACAGCAGAAGCTGACGTGGACACTAATGACGACAATGTGAGGTATATGCATGCATGCATTCTGAACGGTATAGCCGCTTTCTGACGGCCGCAGTCCAGAATCGGACAGTCTGTTTGTTTTCCTGACTAATGTGCATGATCGATAGCATGTGTAATTCTTCCTGGTCAATCTTTCATGACCGTTACCATTCCCATTCCCACTCCCATCCCCATCCCCATCCCACCCCCATCCCCATCCCCGTCCCCGTCCCCGTCCACACCCCCGTCCCCATCCCCTTCCCCGCCCCAATGACCATCCCCATTCACATCCCCATCCCAATCCCGATCCGCATCCCCACCCCCGCCCCATTACTATCCCCATCCCCATCACCTCCCACAGGCGGAGCCCACCAATCAGGACGCATGGGAGATAAAGAAACGGCTGCAGAAGCTGAAAGCTCCTCCTGCTAGCAAGCAGCCCTCCTCCGTCCCTCCCTCTGCCGCTGCTGATACCGCCACACCTCCATCCCTCTCCACCACCCCACAACCCATCCCCACCGCTCCCGCTGCCTCTGCCACACCATCCCCACCCGCCTCTGCTCCCATCCCCACTGCTCCCATCACTGCCACTGCCAACCAATCAGAAGCAGTAAAGCCTTCCCCTGATAGCAAAGTTTCGTCTTTCTCTCCTGCTCTTGAAACCTCCACCGAGGGATTAGGTGCTGATTCGCCTGCTGCTCCAGCTTCTGGGTTGGCTGCTGCTCCGGCTTCTGATTCGGCTTCTGGCTCGGGTTCAGGTTCGGGTGCTGGTTCGGATGCTGGTTTGGGCGGCGGGATGAGCCACATGCCGCAGCTGCCTCCTAGAAAGCAGCAGGCAGCAGCGGAAGCAAGGGAGGGATCTTTTGAGTCGACTCAAAAGCTGCCTCCTAGAAAGCAGCAGGCAACAGCGGAAGCAAGGGAGGGATCGGGGACAGGGGCAGGGACAGGGACAGGGGGGAAGGATGGAGACGGAAAGACGAAGGGTGGGAGAAAGGGGGAGGGAGGGGGAAAGAGGGGAGGAAGAGGAGGAAAGGGAGGAGGAGGGGAGGGGCGAGTTGAGATGGTGAAGGAGAAGAGGGTAGTGAGAAGGAAGGTGGTGAGGAAGAGGATGCAGAAGGTGTTGAGGAGGCGGAGGGAGGAGAGGCGAGTGCCGACGGTGCGAGTTAAAGTGACTCTGGCCACGGGCAGAGACACGAGGCTGGCTCAGATGCCCGTGGGTTGCGGGTGAGTGGAGTTAAGGAGTGAAGGGTGTAGAGCAGTTACAAGTGGTTGCAGGGTAAGGAGTGGTTACATTGTCAAAGTGACTCTGGCCACGGGCAGAGACACGAGGCTGGCTCAGATGCCTGTGGGGTGCGGGTGAGTTCACAAGCAATCATGTTTCAGCAGCTGCACAGAATCGTGGGCGCCTGCTTCCCGTTTTGCTGGACATTCCCTGCGTCAGTTCCCACCAATCGCTGCAATATGTTGTTTCATCAGCGTGTGCTCCCTTTGCTCTCCGCTCCCCTAACCTTTCCACCCGACTGCAGGTTCCAGCAGGTGCACAGAATCATGGGCGCCTGCTTCCCAGTTCTGTTGGACTGTCCCTCCCTGGCTCTGCAGAGTCCGTTTGTACTCTCCCCAGTCGCTACCAAATGTCCTATCTGCGTGTATTCCCTTTGCTCTGTAACCTCGCCTCCCCTCCCCACCCCAATGCAGGTTCCAGTAGCTGCACAGAATCGTGGGTGCCTAGATTTGAGGCGGCTCAAAACGAAACGTTTCAAATCCTCTGTGTGTGCCTCTTTGCTGTGTCCCCTCACCTCCCCTCCCCACCCGACTGCAGGTTCCAGCAGGTGCACAGAATCGTGGGCGCCTGCTTCCCTGGCTCTGCAGGGTCTGTGTGAACTCTCACCAGTCGCTACCACAGGTTTCATTTGCGTGTGTTCCCTTTGCCCTGCGCTCCTCTCCTCTCCCCACCCGACTGCAGGTTCCAACAGCTGCACAGAATCGTGGGCGCGTGCTTCCCCCATCTGAACGGAAAACCCATGCTTCTTCACTACACTGATGCTGAGGTGAGGGTAATGCTGAGGTGAGGGTAATGCTGAGTTGAGAACGGCTGGGGCTGAAAATGCTGTTAAGTATGGTATGGTTTGCGCTAATTCGGTGTATCTCATAGCACCCTTTCTTGCCTCTCCATAGTTTCACACTCACAGCAATGCTCATCCTCGCAACCCAATCTCCCAGGGAGACCTCATCACAATGACATCTAAGGAGGACATTGCTATTGCTCTCAGTATTGGCCGAGCAGCAGCAGCAGGAGGAGGAGGAGGAGGAGCGGGAGGAGGAGGAGCATCATCACCAGTGGCAGTGGCAGCGGTAGCAGCGGCAGCAGCAGCAAGAGAAGCAGCCACAGCAGCAGCTGCTGCTGCAGTGGCGGCAGCAGACGCGCAGGCTGCTCTCGCTGCCTCTCTGGGTGCTGCGCCTCTCGAAGCTGCTTCCCTTAGGCAAAGGGAATCAGCGGTAGCTCCTCCTGTCGCTGCCAGTGCTGCTGCTGAGTCGAAAGCGGAAGTGGAAATCAAAGGGAAGGATCAGTTGAAGCAGGGGAATGATGAGGGGGCATTTGAGCCAGTGCAGGTGAAGGACGCAGAATCAGTTGCCAAGGAGGCTCGTAGTGATATGCCGTGTGATGGCCGCAGCACCACAGCAACCGCTGCTACCACCGCCACCACCACTGCTTCTGCCACTGCCGCCACCATAGCACCCGCCGAAGCCATCACTAGCAGCACCAACACTACCAGCAGCAGCGTCAGCAGCATCGCTGTTAGCACTGTGCTGCGGCTGCATGTGACGCCGCTCAGCCAATCAGAACAGGCGCAGGCACCAGCTGTGCCAGCTGACGATGCTGACGTGGAAGAGGTGGAGTGGGAGGAGGTGGAGGAGGAAGGAGAGGAGGAGGTGGAGGTGGAAGAAGAGGAGGAGGTAGAGGAGGAGATTGAGGTGCCTGCAAGTAAGGGGAAGGAGAAGGGAGAGGAGGAAAATGTTGGAGAAGCAGAAGAGGAGGGAGAGGAGGAGGGGGAGTGGGAAGAAGGGGAGGAAGGGGAAGAAGGGGAGGAGGGGGAGGCACAACAGGAGGTACTAGTTGATTCGTGGATAATCCAGTTTGCCGACCTATTTAGGGAGCGGCTGGGCATTGATTCTCTCGCCAGCTTTGACCTGGCGGATGCTGACGTGGCAGCGGTTAATAGGGCACTGGAGGGGACGGTGGAGGCGGAGGAAGCTTCTGAGTTGCTGCAGCAGGCAGCTGCCAAGTTCCAGAGCATGGTGAGTGCGTGTGAGAGTGTGTGTGTGAGAGAGAGAGAGTGTGTGTGTGGTGTCGGAGTGTATGTGTGACAGAGTCAGCGTGAGAGTGTGTATAGCAGCGTGTGTAATGGCCTTACCACACTCCTTCTCCCCCATCTCTCTCTGCCCATCTTCGCTCCCCCTCTTTCCCCCACGAGCAGGCAGCAGTGGCGCATCTGAACTGGGGCAACACCTATGTCTGGATGGCTCGGCGCAGGCTCGGCCTCAAACCTGCTCCGGAAACTGCCCAAACCACCCAAACCACCGCTGTCGCTGCTGCGGCCGCAGAAGTGGGCGTGGAATCAGGCAAGGAGGGTGATGAAGCAGAGAAAGTAGCAACAGAAGCAGACAAGAGAGGCATGGAGGCGGACAAAGGGAGGGCGGAGAAGGAGAAAGAGGCGTTGAGAGAGATAAGAGGGGATCCAGATCGGCGAGCAGCCAAGCTGGGGGAGGTGGAGGCGGCTCGGGAGGTGCTGGAGCAGGCTCGGGAGAAGTACGAGGCTGCTCTGACGGTGCAGCCGAACCTGCCAGATGTGAGTGGTTGACTCGATGGACTTGATCGATTTGATTGCCTTGCTTGACCTGATTGACCTGGTTGCTTTGACTGACGTGGCCAGTTTCGTTACTGCTTCTTAGAGGTGTGCCTTCACTGCTTGCTGCTTCTGCTGCCTTGTCCTGACAGGCGCTGCTGGCCCTGGGGCAGTGCTATGAGAAGATGGGACGTCGCCCACACATGTACTCGCTCTGATGCGCCCTCACACTTGCACTCTTGCACTCATTCTCACACCACCCCTCCCTATTCTGCTTTTGAGTCGACTCAAAAGCACCACCCCTCCCTATTCTGATAGGTGCTGCTGGCGCTCAGTCTTTTGAGGAGATAAGACTTTGTGCACACATGTACTCTTTATGATGCACCTCACTCCTGCACTCTTGCATTCCTTCCCCTCCCACCTTTTCCCGCCCTGGCAGGCGCTGCTGGCGCTGGGGCAGTGCTTTGTGGAGATGGCGCTGGCAGAGGAGTTCCTGGCAGTGCTGGAAGGGGCGGAGGGCGAACAGTGCAGGGTGCAGTCGGGGTGGTGCTCTCCAGATACAGTGTTTCTGGCAATGAAACCTCCCTCTCCCCTCTTACGTCCCCACACATCATCCTGGCAGGCGCTGCTGGCGCTGGGGCAGTGCTTTGTGGAAATGGCGCGAGCAGAGGAGTTTCTAGCCGTGCTGGAAGGGGAGGAGGGCGGGGAGGGGGACGAGGGAGAGAACGGGGAGAAGAATGAGAAGCAGGAGAAGGGAGAGGGAGAGAAGGGGACTGAAGGGGGGGGAGAGGGGAAGAAGCGTATGAGAGGAGTGCTGGAGTGTTTGGCTCAAGCAGAGGAGAGTTTCACCGCTGCTGTGAAGGTACATTCTGCTCTCCAACTCCATTCTATGCTGTTTTTTCTTGCTGTGATAATCTCTGTGTGTGTGTGTGTGTGTGTGTGTGTGTGTGTGTGTCCTCTCTCCTAGCTATGCGGCAGTTTGTTTGACTGCAATTTGATCCAGAGCTATCTCGTTGAAGCAGGATTGAGCTTCCATTTTCTGGTGCACCTTTTGTTGCCCGCACTCGTCCCCTTTCTCTGTTAGACATGTGACAGTAAATCTAGTGTCTTTTCAACTTAGAAGTCACCGATCGTGAAGACGAGCTGGAGTATGCCAGGTCGTTTGACTGCCTGCGCTTCGCTGGCAGGGCATGTCGTTGGACATATTCCAGCGAGCAGCAGTGAAGGAGAAAGTTTAGCTAAGGAGAAAACAGTTGTCGTGACAGTAGATTTAGGGCCGTCAACGGGGACGAGCAGGAGTGTATGGCAGGTCGTTTGACTGCGCTTCTCTGACAGGCATGTGACGCAATGAATTCAGAGCTGACTCTGTTCTCACCCGTTTGCTTCTTGTCCCCATCCTTTCCCTTTTCCTGACATGCATGTGACACGGTTGAGCAGGATCATTCGAAGGGGCATGAGGCAGCGGCAGCATATTTCAATGGCTTCAATAACCTTTGGTCGCTTATCTGCGCCTTTCTCCTGCCTCTTCCTGTGACAGGCATGTGACACGATCGAGCAGGACCATTTGAAGCAGCACGAGGCAGCAACAGCAGGAGAATCAGAGGAGGAAGGGGACCTTTCTAAAGAGGACCCTGCTGCCAAGCATGGCCACCCAGGGCACAAGCACGGCCCTGGATGCAATCATGACCATGGGCATGAGCACGCGCACAAGCATGGGCCTGGATGTAGTCATGACCACGGGCATGACCATGCAGGAGATCCGGATGCATTCCTTGCTGACGTGGCGGCGTTCCGGCAGAACGTGAACCTCCAGCTGGCCAATTGCATGTTTGACAAGTCGCAGGTCCAGGTGAGGCCGGGCAGTTGAAGTATCTTGCTCCGTTCCTTCCATCAATCTGTTTTCTTAAGAATGGCGTAAGTTGGACCTCATCCTCTCACCTCCTTCCCCTTCCCCCCTCCCTCCTCCCTCCCCCCCTCACTCTCCTCTCCCCCTCTTTCCCTTCCTCCCCTCTTCACTTCCCATGCCTCATTCTGGCCGTCGTGTGTGGTGCATGGTGACAATGGATCAGTTCAAGCTGTCAGATGCGGGATGGGAATCGTCTCTCGAGGCGGCTGTAGCAGCGTTCAAGGGCGTGGGAGTGTCAGAAGAGGAGGTGCAGCGTGTGCTCGCCACACACGCCTCTTCGCAGGCCACAACCTTGTCCCCTCAGTCTTAGGATGTTTTGAGCCTGTGTCGTGGGTGAGAATGATCAGCAGCCGTGCGTTCAATTCGACACCCTGTCACCGTTTACTCATTATGTTGACGTGGCTTCCAATCCAAAGATTAGATTCTGATCAGAACACTACCATCAGACTGTTTCATCCATTACTGAGGCATACGTCCTTATGTCTACCGTAATTACTCTGTGGGGGTTGATCCTAAGAGGGGGTCCACTCCTCCACACCACACATGCAGAGCAGACTCAGCAACATCTACACTTGCACTATGAACCTCTGGACACGCATGCCACATTGCTACACGTCTTCAATGCCTCAGATTCGTATATGTACCATATGTCCATCCGGGTACAAGTGCTAATAAGTTTGTACAGCCTGTCAGGTGTCAGTTTCAAAAAGCTCAAAACAGAAAGAGTGGCTAAGTGTGTTCGTCTTGGAGGCTAGGTATTCCTAACATGCCAAGAAGACACACGCATCCACTGCAGAAAACTGCTGTTAAAACATAAATCCCGCTTTTCCAGTGCGGTATCGTTCCATTATGATGCCTTTTGAAGAGCTGGCTTCACCCGTTTCACCGGCACGCTGACGTTGTAAATCGACCCCACCACCGGGTCCCTTGTGACTCTGAAAATCACGTCATCTTCGTCCTCCACAGCGACGTCCAAGAAATCGCCCATGGCGGTCACGATGTCTCCGCAAAGCTTCTTCTTTAACCTAGGATGGAATTCCTCGCGGTCGCTGTAGAGAACTAAACGCAATCTCTCCTTTGCCACCTCCGCAACACTGCATGGCATAACACAAGACGGATGGTGAGAGAACGAACGGAGCGAATTACCCTTAAAAGAAAAGAGTCACAACGGTTATTAATTACCTTGGTCCCTTCCTTCGCGTAGGGAACACGACTTGCCATGCTCTCGACAATCGGTGTGCGAAAGAAGGTTGAGGCACGAAGTCGTCTTCCATCCATGAGGCATTAGCTGCACGAGAAATACAATGGAAATTACACAACGTCAAACAATATTGAACGCCGCAACTAGAACGGGCTAAAGGACTAGCTATGTGACCATTAAGTCGACACCAAAGCGGCACAAGCTTTGCTCATGGTTAGAACGAACTACTCTAGGCAATCGCCGAGACGGGAGCATGAACCTACCGAAACAGCAGAACGGACCCGACGACCGTTGTTTTGATGCTTGCGTGGAAGGCGACTTAAGCTTAGAACCGCAAAACCGGCTTAATCCACCAGAAGGAAGACAACTGCCAGGGGACTGAATTCAGACATTGAAAACCACGAGTTAGTTACACTGATGCTTCAACAGGACTAAAAACTAATAACAAGGACCCTCTGACCCCATACGCACTTCTGAAACAGTTCTCCTCAATGTAGACTTCGTGTGAGGAATATTAACAGCTGGTCTAACGGAACGACTTCCTATAGTCGACGCCATTCTTTAAGGCACTGCCTGTCACGAGCGTATAAATCGGCTAACCTGGCTAGAGCTCTAAGTTGTGTGTTAGGGTTAAAATGGGGCTAATGATTCAAAAGGGGCTGAATGGGAAGTGTGGTGCACCTGAAGGGATGAAACCAGCGGTATGGGGAGGGGAGGGAGAATCAGCGGACGGGGAAGATAGAGAGGGAATTGGTGGCGGCACTGATCTCTCACCATGACCACAAAAGCGCAAACCACAGGCACGAAAACCTAGGGACTTCCGCGTGGGGCGGAGAGGTAGGGGAGGGGTGAGGGGGATTTGGCTGGACTCGGGGATGCTGAGGAGCTTGGGGGGAAAAAAGGTGGTTCCGAGAGAGGGTTTGAGCTTGGAGGGAACGAGGGGCTGGGAAATATGAAGGGTTTCCCGCTTCCATCTCGCTATGCTCTTGGAACAAAGGCTCATCCGGGACGTCCGTGAACCTCAGCATATCGTTTGCCATCCGTCGATTGGGTCGTGCCATCGTCATCTCACGTGGCGCCACATCTGAGAACAGAGGTTTTAGCAGAGCAGGCCAGCATTCGAATCGCTGGTCAGGACCTGCCACATTCCCAGCGTGGCGTGTGTTGATTGGGCCTTACCATAACCGTGCTTCTGTTGGAGTGGTTTCCGCAACTGTTTTTTTCGTGGCCGCCCTGCCGAGCTCACCGCGGTCCAGGATGCTCGCTCACAGTGGCGTACAGTCAGTGTATGTTGATTGTAGGAAGAGAAATGAAAGTTCACCTGCCAGGATGCTCAGATACAGCTGGTAAAATTACTGTATCATGACGAAAACGTTTCAGAATTGGAACAAACCAGCGCATTATTTTCAGATGTACCCACTTTACTGTTGAAACAAGGTTTCCCAGTGCACTGAAAGCAGTTTACATATACTGCAGTCTGGTGGTTTGCGCTGGGCCTAGAAGCGGAAGAAATTTGAATCCACTGGTATGGGGAGGATGAGGGGGTGAGTTCCTGGGGGGTTTGGAGGGGTGGAAGGGAGTGCTGGGGAGGAGGGGCGGATGGGGGCGTGGGGTAGGTGAAGGACGAAGGGGAAGGGGCGGAGAGGGGGGGAGGGGAAGGAGTGAAGCCCAAGCAATTCGTAGGAGCGTGCTACAGAACAGAGCAGCAAAACAGAACTGTTCACAACCAAAAAGCAGAGCAGATGCACGACCGCGGCTCGTGTGTGCTTGGTTTGAACTTTGGACATCAGTGGTCTCGTTTGGAACAATCGCACAGCTTAGGAGCATCACGGAACGAATAGTGTACAAATGTTACGAGTGCAATTGAGTGAACGAACGAGAATTGCACTATCGAAGCAAGAATACGAATGAGCGAAGGCATGAGCGAACATTATATAGTGAAACTACAGTGGTAACGGTAATGGTCGCGCGACGAGCCTGGGACTGAGGTTGGGAAAGTGTCGAAGCGTAGGCCCGGAGCGCGGGTTACCAGCCGAGCCGTGAGGTCGGGATGCGATGTGCGAAAAGGGCGGGATGATGAATGATGCGATGGTCGCGAGTGGTAACGGTGCTGACTGAGGTGCTACAGTGATGTACGCGTTGAGCAGGGACGCGAAGTAAGGAAAAGGGAATTTCCTTACACTACCCCCCCTCCTAAGGAGGTCCTCCTTATGAAAGCGCGTGGATGTCTCGGAAATTGCGGCTACGTAGGTAGTCGGTGACGACGGGGTGATTTTCAACTTTCTCCAGGGGAACCCAATTGTCCTCGATGGGGGTACGATCTTTCCAGCGGATCAGAAACTCTACTTTGCGGGCTCCTCGAGGGTCGCGAACTCTGTGGCTCAGGATTTTGACGGGGGTGATGACTGGTTCGATTGGTGGTCGTGTCATGCTGGTGGGTCGATGTCGTGGGAGTTGGCTGGTGGATGGCACGTAAGGGCGAAGTAAGCTAACGTGGAACGAGGGGCTGACGTACCAGTCAGCAGGGAGGAGGAGGTGCGCGGTGACTGGCGTAACCATGTGACTGATTCGAAATGGCCCACAGTATCGAGGGAGGAGTTTTGGAGTGATGGGCAGGCGGAGGTTCTGAGTGTCGAGTAAAACGAGGTCGTCGGGCTGATAAGTAACGGGTCTGCGATGGCGATCGGCGTTGCGTTTAGCGATGATGTTTGATTTTTTGATTGCTTCTGCTGCCCTGGTCCGTGCTGCTTGCAGAATCTCGGCGAACTGTTGTGCTCGTGGGACGGGGTTGTCGGGATTCGGTGTCATGGGTACTGTTGGGTCCTGTCCGTAATTCAAGTAAAACGGCGACTGTTGCGTCGTGGCTGATGGTGCGTTATTGTAAGCGAACTCGATGAGTGGTAGCTGCTGTTCCCACGTATTCGGATCGTCGCACGTGGCTCGAATCAGCTGCTCAATGGTCTGATTTGTCCGTTCCGTCTGTCCGTCGGTTTCGGGGTGATAGGATGAACTGAACTGTAAGCGCGTGCCGAACTGCTGCCACAGGTTCCGCCAGAAGTTGCTTGTAAATTTCGTGTCCCTGTCGCTGATGATCGATGCGGGTATCCCGTGCAGTCGAACGACGGTGGTGATGAAGAGTCGGGCGGTTTCCTCGGCTGTGATTGATTTACTGCATGCTGCGAAATGAGCCATCTTCGTTAGTCGATCGACGACGACCAGGATCGCGTCATTCCCACTCGCCCCAGCTGGTAACCCCGTGACGAAATCCATCGTCACCTGCTGCCAAGCACGCTCTGGGGGCGGGATGGGTTGCAATTGTCCCGCCGGCCGCTTCCTGCTTGACTTCATGAGCTGGCAAGTGGGACACGATGCCACGTGTCGTTGCACATCAGTCAACATTTCTGGCCAGTAGTAATACCGCTGCAGCTGCTGCCGTGTTTTTTCTACCCCGAAATGTCCCGAGGGAACTCCGTCGTGTGCTTCCTGTAACAGTAGTTCCCGCAGTAGCGTCTATCCTGGTACCCAGATGCGGTCGGTTCCAGCTTTTACGTAATAGACTCCTTTTGCCGCTGCGAATTGCTGTGAGTTGCCTCCTGTAAAGAACGGGTCTGTTTGATATCCGTGGGTGAATAGGCCTGTCAGTAGCGGGCTGGTCTGGGCGAGTAGTATCGCGTGGATCTGGGCAGTGGGGCGGGTCAGTGCGTCGGCGATATTCGAGGCTCCTTTTTTGTATGTGACCGTATAGTGAAAATTCGACTCGAGGAAATCGAGCCATCGAATCTGTCGTGGGTTGAGGTGGGGCTGTGCGCGGAGGTACTGTAGAGATCGATGGTCTGTCCGTACTGTCACGTCTGCGCCGGTCAAGTAGCAGCGCCACACTTTGAATGCGTGCACGATCGCGAGCATTTCGCGGTCGTGTATCGGGTAATTTCGCTCAGGCGGATGTAGTTTGCGTGATTCGTAGGCGATGGGTTGTAGGCCGTCGCCGAAGTCCAGTAACAGTACAGCTCCGATGGCGATGTCACTTGCGTCGGTAACCACTTCGAAAGGGCGGTGGGGATCAGCGATGCGTAGAACGGGTGGTGAACAGAGAACGTTTTTCAGGGCAG